ATTATTTTAGACTGGCATCAGGGTCTCCTTAAAATATACCATGGTAGGCATTTTTTATCTGTTGCACTGAAATTCCAAGGAGTCTTATCAGCCCTGACCAGATTACCTCTGTGAAATACAGAGCACCTTTCTGTATGCTATGTGAATGAGTAGAAGAGGAGGTGTTTTGTAGTACAATTCAGAAGCAAGCAGCCTAGAGTCCAAATGCTGCTTCTCCATAGTCACAGTACGTTGAGTGAGTGTTGTCACCCAGGACAGAAAGTGTGATAGTGGCAAGATCACCAGGTAAATATAGACCCATATCCTGTCCATGGTGCTAAATTCAGGCCAGAACAGTCTATTATGCAAGTATTCTTAGTTTCTATTTTAAGTTTAACTGTAGCTGCCCATATCTTCTTGATTGTGTTTCTGAATCCGCGGGACAGGTTATGATTATCTCACATGCACAATCAAGATAGGTAGGTCTGTGCTACTGTATGTATTTAGTGGTCACCTTCCAGTATATTAGTAGATTAAACTATTTATTATTATTATTATTATTATTATTATACAGTATTTATAAAGCGCCAATAGTTCGCTCAGCGCTGTACATTACAAAGGGAGACAGAACATGTGACAGAACAATACCAATACAATGCAAAACATGAGGGGATCAACCACTGCAATAGAGCAGTGGTTTTTTTAACCTATTTGAGTCACGGACTCCTTTAGCTGCTTGCCAGCCGCCCTATAGCAGATAGCAAGTACTGCTACAGGGCAACAGGGCTGTGCAAAATCACGTACAGTATATATATGTGATTTGCATTTCCAGGTAGGGGGCATGCGCAGGCATGCACCGCCTCACCTGCGCCGCTATTGGTGGAGAGGGATGCCAATCACCAGGTCCTGCACAGCAGAGAAATACAAAGCAGGATGCCTCAGTAGTAAACCACAACACAGCACATAATGTAAATCACACACAGCACACAGTTAACCCTTTGATCGCCCAGATGTAAACCCCTTCTTGCCCAGTGTCATTAGTACAGCGTTAGTGCTTTTTATTAGCACTGATCACTGTATTAGTGTCACTAGGGATGTCAGTGACAGTTAGTCAGTTCCCACCCAGTGTCAGAATGCCCTCTGCAGTCCCGCTATAAGTCACTGATCGCCACCATTATTAGTATTAAAGAAAAAAAAAAAATTCCAGTATATATACCACTATTTGTAAACGTTATACCTTTCATGTAAACCAATTAATATACACTTATTGGGATTTTTTTTTTTAGCAAAGACATGTAGCAGAATACATTTTGGCCTAAATTTATGAAGAAACTTGATTTTTTTAATTTTTTTTAATTGGATATGTTTTATAGCAAAAAGTCAAAAATATTTTTTTTTTTTTCCAAAATCATCTGTCCTTTTTTGTTTAGAGCAAAAATAAATAAAAACCGTAGAGGTGTCAAATACCACCGAAAGAAATCTCTGTTTGTGGGGAAAAAAAGAAATTTCATTTATGTACAGTATTGCATGACAGCGCAATTGTCAGTTAAAGTAAAAAGTAACGCAGCACCATATTACAAAAAATGGCCTGTTCAGGAAGGGGGGTAAATCCTCTGGAAGGCTTGCGCAATCCCCAGCCGCTGCTCTGTCTTTCCATTCACACATGGACCCACAGCTCAGCCCCACCCCCTCTCTATTCTCATTGGGCTCACTGGCTGTGATTGACAGCAGCGGGAGCCAATGGCTCCCGCTGCTGTCTCAGCCAATGAGGAGAGGGAATCTCGGGATAGTTGAAACTCCTGTGTACATCACTGGATCGAGAGGGGGTGAGTATTAGGGGGGCTGGGGAGAATGCTGCAGAGAAGTTTCTTACCTTCATGCATAGAATCCAAATGAAAACCACATACACTGTCTGAAAATTTGTACAAATTTTCTTATCACTATGCTCAAAAAACAGCATCGTTTTGACCCCACTAACAATTAAAAAAACAAACAAACTGTTGAAGCTTTTCTTATACGTGTATGGCCAGCATGAGCCTTTTTTGAAGGCTGTGTTTGTTGATTAATATTATTATTTGTTATGGATTCTTTCCCAGTAACATACTATATATGTGTACTAAGTAAATACAACAAATAGATCTAAAATATCAGACTACATAAAATAAGTGGATAGCAAGTATTAATGTACACAGATCTCTAATGAGGAAAGATGACAGAATGGTATGCAAAGATGGCTTATAGCGTAAGATTCATTACCTGCATTGGAAGTGCTTCTGGAAGCCGAGAGTTGTCCACTGACGCCCCTGAGAGTTCAATCAGATAATGTTTGTCCCTAGGGAAGAAAAGTAAAGACTGTACTTTAAATATATTCAATCTGTATGATTTATGTTAGAGCATTTATAGATGACATGCAAGAACAGCAATGACATGCACATTCACGCTGGGCTCCTCCAGGCAGGGCTTTATTGCTTTATGAATAAATAGGCTACTAATAGCTGACTGTATTTACGACCCACATATTGCCCTGACCACCCACGTATTTCCATGGTGTCCATGCATTGCCATAACTACCTATTAGCTTTCCATATATTACCACAGTTGTCCAATTGTTGCTCACCTATTGTCAAGGTTGTCTGTTTTTTTGTCCACCTGATGCCATGATTGTTCATTTGTTGCTTATACAGTATGTTTGATATGTATGTATTGTTGCTTATATATATATGTTTGATATTTATATATATTTCCACAACTACACGTTTCCCATGTATTACCATGGCTGCCTGTTGTTTGCCCACGTATTGTCATTATAGTGCATTAGTTTCCACGTATTACCACACGGGGGAGATTTACTATAGCGGGAGAGTGCAAAATCTGGTGCAGCTATATATAGAAACCAATCAGCTTCTGGGTTTTATTGTCAAAGCTTACCTAAATAAGCTGAGGTTAGAAGCTGATTGGCTGCCATGTGCAGCTGCTCCAGATTCTGAGTGCTCCAGTTTTAGTACATCAACCCCTGCGTGTGTGTATTGATAGATATACATTGCTCAGAAAATGTAAAGGAACACTTTTTAATCAGAGTATAGCATCAAGTCAATTAAACTCCTGGGATATTGATCTGGTCAGTTAAGTAACAGAGGGGCTTGATAATTAGTTTCACCTGCTTTGGTGTTAATGATATTAACAACAGGTGCACTAGATGGGCAACAATGAGATGACCCCCAAAACAGGAATGGTTTTACAGGTGGAGGCCACTGACGTTTTTTTCCCTACTCATGTTTTCTGACTGTTTTTCACTAGTTTTGCATTTGGCTAGGGTCAGTGTCACTACTGGTAGCATGAGGCTATACCCGGGCCCTACAGAGGTTGCACAGGCAGTTCAACTCCTCCAGGATGGCACATCAATATGTGCCATTACCAGAAGATTTGCTGTGTCTCCCAGCACGGTCTCAAGAGCATGGAGGAGATTCCAGGAGACAGGCAGTTACTCTAGAAGGGCTGGACAGGGCCGTAGAAGGTCCTTAATCCATCAGCAGGACCGGCATCCTTTCATCCTTTGTGCAATGATGAGCACTGCCCTAGCCCTACAAAATGACCTCCAGCAGGCCTCTGGTGTGAATGTCTCTGGCCAAACAATTAGAAACAGACTTCATTAGGGTGGCCTGAGGGCCCCACGTCCTCTAGTGGACCCTGTACTCACTGCTTGGCACCATAGAGCTTGATTGGAATTTGCCATTGAACACCAGAGTTGGCAGGTCCGCCACTGGCACCCTGTGCTTTTCACAGATGAGAACAGGTTCACCCTGAGCACTTGTGACAGACGTGAAAGGGTCTGGAGAAGCCGTGGAGAGCGTTCTGCTGCCTGTAACATCGTTCAGCATGACCGTTTTGGTGGTAGGTCAGTGATGGTTTGGGGAGGCATATCCTCTACAGGCTAGACAATGGCACTCTGACTGCTATTAGGTATGGGGATGAAATCCTTGGACCCATTGTCAGACCCTACACTGGTGCAGTGGGTCCTGGGTTCCTCCTGGTGCATGACAATGCCCGGCCTCATGTGGCGAGAGTATGCAGGCAGTTCCTGGAGGATGAAGGAATTGATACCACTGAATGGCCCTCACACTTGCCTGACCTAAATCCAATAGAACACCTCTGGGATATCATGTTTTGGTCCATCCAACGCTGCCAGATTGCACCTCAGACTATCCAGGAGCTCAGTGATGCCCTGGTCCAGATCTGGGAAGAAATACCCCAGGATACCATCCTTTGTCTCATTAGGAGCATGCCCCGACATTGTGAGGCATGCATACAAGCATGTAGGGGCCGTACAAACTACTGAGTACCATTCTGAGTTGCTGCAATAAAGTTTCAGCAAAATGGACTGCCTACTGCATCATTTTTTCACTTTGATTTTCGGGGTGTCTTTGAATTGAGTCCTCTGTAGGTTGATAATTTTCATTTCCATCAAATGATGTGGCATCCTTACGTTCCTAACACATTACCAGTTCATATCAGTATAGATATCCAGCAGATTTGTCCCCATTGAGATCTGATGTGTTTTCAAAGTGTTCCTTAAATTTTTTTTTGAGCAGTGTATATACACTATATTGCCAAAAGTATTGGGACGCCTGCCTTACATGCATATGAACTTTAATGGCATCCCAGTCTTTGTCCATAATATTGAGTTGGCCCACCTTTTGCAGCTATAATAGCTTCAACTCTTCTGGGAAAGCTGTCCACAAGGTTTAGGAGTGTGTCTATGGGAATGTTTGACCATTCTTCAAGAAAAGCATTTGTGAAGTCAGGCACTGGTGTCAGATGAGAAGGCCTGGCTCGAACTCTCCGCTCTAATTCATCCCAAAGGTGTTCTGTCGGGTTGAGGTCAGGACTCTGTGCAGGCCAGTCAAGATCCTCCACCCCAAACTCGCTCATCCATGTCTTTATGGACCTTGCTTTGTGCACTGGTGTGCAGTGATGTGGAACAGGAAGGGACCATCCCCAAACTTTTCCCACAAAGTTAAGAGCATGGAATTGTCCAAAATGTCTTGGCATGCTAACGCCTTAAGAGTTCCCTTCACTGGAACTAAGGGGCCAAGCCCAACCCCTGAGAAACAAACTGACACCATAATCCCCACTTTACCAATCTTTACACTTAGCACAATGCAATCAGGCAAGTACCGTTCTCCTGGCAACCGCCAAACCCAGACAGAGAAGCGTGATTCGTCACTCTAGAGAACACGTCTCCACTGCTCTAGAGTCCAGTGGTGGCGTGCTTTACACCATGGCATCCGACGCTTTGCATTGCACTTGGTGATGTAAGGCTTGGATGCAGCTGCTCGGCCATGGAATCCCATTCCATGAAGCTCTCTATGCACTGTTGTGCTAATCTGAAAGCCACACAAAGTTTGGAGATCTGCAGACAGTTGGCGACTTCTGCACACTTCAGCATGCGCTGACCCCGCTCTGTCATTTTACATGGCCTACCACTTTGTGGCTGAGTTGCTGTTGTTCCCAGTTGCTTTCACTTTGTTATAATACCACTAACAGCTGACTGTGGAATATTTAGTAGCCAGGAAATGTCACGGATGGACTTATTGCACAGGTGGCAACCTATCACAGTACCACGCTTGGAGTTACTGAGCTCCTGAGAGCGACCCATTCTTTCACAAATGTTTGTAGAAGTAGTCTGCATGCCTAGGTGCTTGATTGTATACACCTATAGCCATGGAGGTGATTGGAACACCAATGATTTAGAATCCAATGATTTGGAATGTTGTCCCAATACTTTTGGCAATATAGTGTGCATATATATATATATATATATATATATATATATATACATACATACACACACACACTCGCCGGCCTCTTTATTAGGTACACCTGTCTAATTGTTTGTAACACAAATTGGTAATCATCAACAACTCAATGCATTTAGACATCTAGACATGGTGATGAATGAAGACTTGCTGGAGTTCAAACTGAGCATCAGTGTGGAAAAGAAAGGGGATTTCAGTGACTTTGAACGTGGCATGGTTTTTGGTGCCAGACGGGCTGGTCTAAGTATTTCAAAAACTGCTGATCTTCTGTGATTTTCACGCACAACCATCTCTAGGGTTTACACAGAATGGTCCAAAAAAGAGAAACTATCCAGTGAGTGGCAGTTGTGTGGACGAAGATGCCTTGTGATGTCAGAGGTCACAGGAGAATGGGCAGACGATTTAAGATGATGGAAAAGGCAACAGTAACTCAAATAAGCACACGTTACAACTAAGGTATGCAGAATATCATCTCTGAATGCACAACACATCGAATCTTGAAGCAAATGGACTACAGCAGCAGAAGACCATACCGGGTAACACCCTGTCAGCTAAGTACAGGAAATGGAGGCTACCATTCGCACAGAATTGCACAGAAAATTTGAAAAACGTTGCCTGGTCTGATGAGTCTTGATTTCAGCTGCGACATTCAGATGGTATGGTCAAAATTTGACATAAACAACATGAAAGCATGGATCTATCCTGCTTTGCATCAACGGTTCAGCCTGCTGGTGGTGATGGGATGACCATGTCTACTGCATGAAAATCCCAGTTTATCAGCAGTTCTTGAAATACTCAGACCAGCCCATTTGGCACCAACAACCATGCCACAGTCAAAGTCACTTAAATTCCCTTTCTTCCCCATGCTGATGCTCAGTTTCAACTTCAGCAAGTCTTCTTCACAACGTCTAGATGCCTAAAATGCATTGAGTTGCTGCCATGTGATTGGCTGATTAGCAATTTGTGCTACCAAGCAATTGAACAGGTATATCTAATAAAGTGGCTGGTGAGTGTCTATGGAACAAAGGATACGAATGATAACAGATCCTTGTGACCACAATAACATAGTGTAAAACAAATATATAAAAATAAAATAAAAATGTGTTAGAAGGAAAAAATATGCACAAAACACCAGTAAAGAACATTTTTCTTTTATATAAATGTTCTAATTAAAACTAAGAAGAGTCATGGTGTGCCCTAGAGGACTCAATGTTCCAGAATTCAATGTTTTTGCATTATTAGCAATGTGTGAACGTTGGACGTTTGTTTTCTTCGGGTGTATTTCTCCGCTGATAGTTTTTATATTTAATGATTGTTTACCGGTGCTTTGTGACAGCAGTTTTCCCATTTTGTAATAAGTTTTTTTTCCATCAGCACATATACTTTTTACATCATTCTGATTTATTACTTATTTTTTCACAGTACTTTTATCACGTTATTGTTGTTATAAGGAGCTATTAGCATGCCTTATGGACATCACGTTGATGGCTGTATTCACAGAGAACAGAGGCGATCACTGCGCCAACATTCTCCTCAGGTAAAGTACAATACATTCCGAACCCAGCACACGAGGCACGGAACACACTTGTCAAGCCCCGCCCCTTACTTTCCCGCGCGGCGCTCAGCTTGTGAGTGGCGGACGGGCAGCATGTGGTCCCCGGGATCCCCGTAGGTGAAGGCGGTGTATGAGGGAGGATGGCGGCCCGGGATGAAAAGCAGGAAGTGGGGTGGAGGGGAAGTGAGGAGGTGGGTACGGGATGGGTTATAATGACTGAAGATGAGGGGAAGGGTGGTGCAGTGTTGGGTGGAGGTGTAGGAATGGAATGAAGGCGTTATCGGGGCTGGAGAACTGGTCATACACAGGTCCCTGTCAATGGGCCGTTGACCAGCTTTGGCCCTTTGGCCTACAGTGCATGCAGTGCAGGGATGGGTGACCCATAGAGTGAATGGGGTTTCTGTATGAAATCACAGCTCTGTGTTGTGGTAAGAGGAGTGCAGCAGAGCGCTGTTGTGTGATGTGCTGTGTTACTAAAAATGGCGGATGTCCATTTCTGTGTCAGGATCCCGCTCATAGGAATGAGCTTCCTTATCTGCTTAGCTTCCAGAAAATTTACCCTTCCTGACCAGGCCATTAGCGATGCAGAAGCTGTTACTTGTAATGCAACGCTGCACCTAAATAACATGTCCTCCCCCCCCCCCCCCCCCCCCCCCCCCCACAAATAGAGCTTTCTTTGGTATATTTTGCTTTTGGTGGTATTTGCCAGTGTGTCTTTTATTTTTTGAGCTATAAACCAAAAAAGACCTACAATTTTGAAAAAAAAAAACCTTTTTACTATAAAACATTCAGTAAAAAATAAATTTCTTAATGAATTTAGGCCAAAATGTATTCTGCTACATGTCTGCTAAAAAAAAAATCCCAATAAGTGTATATATTCATTTATATGAAAGTTATAGCACCTAGAAATGGTGACATATATATTGGAATGTTGTTGTTTTTTTGTACTAGTAGTGGCAGCAATCAGTGGGACTGTGGTGGGCATTCTGACACTGGGGGAACTGTGGTGGGCATTCTGACACTGGGGGAACTGTGGTGGGCATTCTGACACTGGGGGAACTGTGGTGGGCATTCTGACACTGGGGGAACTGTGGTGGGACATTCCCTGGGGGAAACACTGCTGCTGACATTCCCCAGTGACACCAACACAGTGATCAGTGCTAATAAAAAGCACTGACACTGTACTAACACTGGGCAGGAAGGGGTTAACATCTGGGGCGATCAATGGGTTAACCGTGTGCTGTGTGTTTTACATTGTGTTGTGTTTTACTATGTAGATGTGCTGCTTTGTATTTCTGTGCTGTGCAGAGAAATACAAAGCAGCATGTCTATCCTGACAGGAGAGAGACCTGTGTTTGTTTACAAACCGGTCTCTCCCGTTAGCTCTGCTGACAAGCAACGAGTCCAGGCCAGAGAATCGCTGGCCAGGTTTCGGTGATTGACATGTCCGGCAGCCAATAGCAGCACGGGTAGGGTGGTGCGCGCATGCCCCCTACCCGGAAATGCAAATCATGTATATTTATGTGACTTTACTCAGCCCTGCTGCCCTGTAGCGGTACCCCTGCTATAGGGTGGTGGAAAAGTGGTTAAAGTGACAAACCCTTTTCTTTTTTTTTTTTTTTTTTTTTTTTTTTGTATACTCTAAAAAGGTCTCCCAGCTGGTTAAAGTGGCTTTTCACCTTCTAGGCTATCTAACCTCATCTTCGCCCCTTAAATAGTGCTATATTTTGTTTTTCTCTAATGTGTCTTAAACAAAAAAAAAGTGTTCAGTCTGCCCCCCATCCCTGTATGTGTAAAAACGTCCCTCATACACTTTAGTACATCCCATGTGAATGAGGCCTTAGGAATTTAGCAGGAGTTTTGTAAGTTGTGTTGGTGTGATAATCCTATTTTTAGTGTGTTTTTATTGAAAATAGTGATTTGACAAAAAAAAGTGTGCAACTATTCTGGTGCATAAAAGATTAATAGCACTTCTTTTTTTTCTTCTACTGGTCCTATGCTTTCGGAAAATGTATAGTTTTACAAACTCTGAAAGCTGTAAGTGGGAAATGAAAACCTCCCATATTTTTAGCGTTCGGGCAGGTTCACAGCAGGAATCTCACAGGAATGCATGTGCAGTGCAATTTTATCCCTTTTATTTTGATTGCGATGTATCACACCAAAAGTATTGCAAGCACATCTTTTGGAAACTCACTGCTGTACTTCTGTACCATTCGATCCGGGGCAGGCAAACGCACTGCATTTGCAACCTTCTATTGGGGTGTCATTGATATTAAACTGCTGCAGATCACAACTGCAGTGTGTTTTGAATGCGATGCAGGAACGACGCATAGAATGCAGGTTTATCGAACCATGTTCTGGTGTAAACCAGCCCTAAATTTTTTTTATTTAGTTTTGTGTGCCCTCAGTTTTCAGTATTTCACCAAAAAAAGTGTAATTTAGAATTTACAAATATTTACTTATGAAGTTAATACAGTTTTTTAGCTTTTATATTTGAAGCAGAAGTTCACCTTTTTTTTAAAAAAACAAAAAACAAAAGTAAATGCACATTTTTTTGGAGGTAAAAAAATGTGCATTTACTGTTTTTTTTTTTTTGTTAAGTGTTGCACCAGCGATCATCAGATTGCTGGGGCCATGCAGCACTCCTGCAGACTGTCCGTTGTCTGCTTGTACATCATACGGGCTGGCAGTTTCATACTGCCAAAAATAATCAATGAACTATCACAGCACTCAACAGTGCACAGTAGTTCATTGAGAACTACAAGCCGACAGCTGCAAAGGATGTCTGTACTTATAGTTTTCACATTGGTAGAACTCCATGAATGAATGATGTGGACGTGTGGGTGGAGATCTGCATGGCCGCGCTCTTGTCAAAAAGTGACAGCAAGTACAGGGAACTTCTCCCTGTACTGCTGTCACACACAGGCAGCGGATTGCCAAGCGGCTGCAAGAGAGGTAACGTTACATGTTCCAACCTAAAAACAGGTGGAATATGTAACGTTCCCAAAGGTGAACTTATCCTTTAATAGGATTTTTGTAAGTTTTGCATTGTATGTATCCATTAATAATCATTTTACAATATTTTTTAACAAAAATATTGTTTTGATAATCACTTGTGCAAATGTTGCAGGGCCTAAAAAAACAAAAAAAAACAGCAGCACTTTTTTGTTATTCTACTGGTCCCATGCTTTCAGAAAATGTTAGGTTTAGGGGGTCTTAGAAATATGAATGCTGTATCAGAAAAAATAGGAAAAATTGCAAAAATGGTCTGGCTACCTGAGTTTAATAGTGGAGCATAGGGCCTATGTCCAAACAGCT